TCACCTAAATATTAAAAAAAAAAAAAAAAAAAAAAAAAAAAAAAAAAAAAAAAATAAATAAAAATTGGCTAAATAATGGCTTAAAACTAGTCAATGTTAAATAACTCAAGAGAGAATTGCTATGGAAAATTTCACCAGCAATTCTGACTAACGAAAAATTTCATGAACTTGACAAATACTATCATCTTGTACCAATGATAAAGTAGAAAAGTGATTGAGCCTCGTCATCTAACCTGATTGTGCTATAAATATCTAGGTACTTTGCTAAAATCGTTCATTATTGCGATAGTGACAAAATATTCTAGATACTATTATTATTATATTAGGCCACCAAGAGGAAATTTTCATAGCAAATCGCAAATTTTTTTTCTAGCACTATTAACGAGGTTTTTTGACGGAATCTGAAAAGTTAGTAATTTTCTATACTCTGCCAAAAAAAAACTTCGTTGAAGCCTCATTAATAGTGCTAGAAAAAAAGATTTTCTAAATTTACAATTTGTTGTTAAAATTTCCTCTTGACGGCCTAATATATTAATAATATACTAGTATCTGGAATATTTTGTCGCTATCGCAAAAATGAACGATTTTAGCAAAGTAATAATATTCTTAATAAATAAGAAAGACCTGCTTATTGTTCTAATCTGAATAAATAATAGTTCAATGACTTTTCTACAGATCACTGATGTTCGATGAAGTGGAAGATATTGTAGTAGAAGTTAAGTGCATGTCTAATAAATACTATCTATGTCAAATAATTTCTTCAAATAAAGATGATACAATGTCAAAAAAAAACCAAAAATGCAGAACACATGATATATTTTTTTATGAATAATATAATAAATAATGAATTATTTCATATAATTCGACCTGATCTCTCAAGCTAAACGAAGTTGTGTGCTTTAAGCCAGCTAGTTATTTGCCAATTATTTGACAATGCTTTTGAAAATAAAAAATAAATTAAAATAGTTCTTAAAACCCGAAGCCTGTTTTTTTCCTAAATATCCCAGAATAATAAAAATCTGAACCAAAAAATTTTTTGTATTTAGAAAAATAAAAATTCATTTCTTAAGCGTTGACACCATGAAGGCATCGTATTGTTCCGATATTTTCACAGCGGTTTCTTAAAGCTTTTATTTCTTTTATTATCCGGTGGGAAGATTCTAAATTCATTAGCCATATCCCCAGTTTCTGAACTTCAGACAGAAATCCTTCAATTTCATCTTTTAAAAGTTTTGTTTTATTTATTAGTTCATCAACTTGGTCGATTTGATTTGATTCTTTGATAACAAAATCCATAGGTGTGTAAACTATTTTATTATCGCTCATATTTGGTTTTGTAATCTTTTCTGGTTCTTGATTTATACTTTTTGTTTCAGTATCTTGGATGTTGTTAATCAGAATGATTTTATTTTTTCTACATTCAGTTGGAATTTGTTCTGAATAGCTAAAAATGGAGTTACATTGATTCGTTACTTGTGTTTGTAAAGAAGATTGAAATTCAGAAAATAAAATTTCTATATCCGAAGGAGAGTAATCACTGTAATGCAAGCTTATAATACGATTCTCATTTGGAGATGGCACTTTATAAAACTGATTATGGTAAATAGAAAGTGAACTTTCTATTATTTTATAAACTTCAAAATTAAGAGATTGAGATAAATTATCATTGTTAATCATTCTATTTGATCGACAGGAAAATAACGAAGAGTATGTGTTTTCGTCTATTCTATTGTTTGTTATTTTATAAGGTTGATTGTATTTGGAATAGAAATGAATTTTGTTGAATTCAGTATTTATTATTCTTGTAGAAATATGTTTAAAATGAAAATTTTGAAATTTCATATGGTTTATTCGTTCATATAATATAGAGGCAAAGAAAAATAAATTTAAAAACAATTCAGCAGTGATTCTGGATTTATTTGAGGTTTCAAAGATAAGAGTTTCAATTGATCTTTTATGTTTCAAAAATTCTTTAAAATAATTTTGACTGTTCAGACGTTCTAATGAATGTCTTTTCGTTGTATTATCATGTAATATGGTTTTATAAACTAAATAAGAATCTTCATCATTTGTAGATAGTCAGCCTTCGCTTTTTTCACTATTATCTGAACAAATAGATTCAGATTTATAGATGGTACTCGTAAATAATACAGAAAATCTGACAATGAGGCCTGGAAATAACAAGAGAGGTGGAATCGGAATCATATTTAATATTAAAATCAAAGATGCGAGAATCAAAGTAGCAATGACCAAAGAAGTCAAACAAATTAAAGTTAGGAAAATTGTATAAGCAATTTTCAGCAAAAGAAAAATAAAATAAGAAAAAATAGTTGTGGTTGCTTTATAGACAATTTTTAGCAATAATGCTAAAAGCTTTAAACTGTTTTTACTTGACATTCTGTAATTGTAATTTTTAGTCAATTCTGAAAACTAGATTTTACATGATTCTTTTAATACATTTTTTCGTAAATGAGCTTGTTCAAATAAGGAAATAATTAAAACAATTTTGTTTTAATTTATGCAATCTTTGCTGCGGTTATTCGTATTATCTATTTTACAAAGCATTAAAATGAAACCCCGAGATAAGTATGATTAATAATATTTTTCATGTATATAGTGCTAATCTGTTACGCAATTAATATGCGTATTTTTTTAATTAAATTTTTTCAGCATATGAATATGTGAAAAACTATAAATACTATGCAATAAGATTCCAAAAAAAGTTGTAGCATAAACGGAAATTAATCTACTATTTAGAATAAACAAAAGAAATGTTCAACTCTTCACGCTATTGCAAAATGCTTTGTTCAATGTTTCATTTTTCGTGAATGTACTTTTCAAATAAGGGATAATTAATTTAATTCATGCTATCTTCGCCATATTGCCGTGATTATTCATATTACCTATTTTACAAAATAGAATGAAACTCCAAGTTCTGTATGAGAATTTATAATATAAATGCTAATCTGTTACTCAATTGTACGTGATTCGTTTTAAAATATATAAAGGATATGATGTAATTTTTGTCATTTAAAAATATTGAAAATGATTTCTCGTAAGAAATTAGTTTCTTTAATATTTTTTTTGCCATCATATATTGTTTCTATTGCTGAATATGCAAGAAAAATTCGTAAAATCGTGTACTTGCCGAAATATTCTTATTATTATATTATTTTCTGAGTTTGTAATATTTTTTATAATCCGGTCGTAAGTATATTTTGGTTTCTTTCTCTAGCTGGAACATTGAAGTTCGAACTAATTTTATCAAATTTTTATAGGATCAAACAATCACAGCATTCATATTTGTATACCGATCCTTATGAGCCAATTGTGTATGGAACTTTTGGTGTTGACCAATCTAATTGGAATATAATAGCACTACGAATAAAAGGTATTTTTGCTGAATAATGGCTGGAAGTCGTGGTCTCGGACATAAAGGTCGGCATGGGTTCGTGCCATATTAAATTTTCGACTTAGATTGATTTGTTTACGTTTTTTTTTTTTTTTTTTTTGCGTTTAGTTTATGGTAGTGAAAAGTTCGAACACCTTGTATTTTGTAAGGCTCACTTAATGTT